TATTTTGCCACACACTTTCCATCACTATTATTTAATTTTAACCGCTCTATGAAATAGGTTTATCCCCATTTTACAGACAGGGAAACACAGGCTTAGGATAGTTAAGGTAATCAAAGACAACACAGCAAACAGTAGATGGTAGCAACAAGATTCTAATCCTGATCAGCCCTCAAAACCCTTATTATTAACTACTGTATCTCCCAGAATCCTGGATACAACATTATGGTAATATACCATTATGAATAATAACAAAAATGCTGGCCATTACAACTGTGAGGTCCATCGGAACAAGGAGTTTAACTTGTGAAGAAGGATGAGGTGTTACATCTCAAGATCAAAGATACAGAGTATCATCCCATATTGCTTCCAGTATATGAAGAAATACTATGTAGGAGCTGAATGAAGACTTGAATACCACTTAGTTTTGGGGTGCTCCTGAGAATTGCTCCCGTAGGATGTTACTTTTTATTTATTTATTTATTTTTTTTATTTATGATAGTCACAGAGAGAGAGAGAGAGAGGCAGAGACACAGGCAGAGGGAGAAGCAGGCTCCATGCACCGGGAGCCCGACGTGGGATTCGATCCCGGGTCTCCAGGATCGCGCCCCGGGCCAAAGGCAGGTGCCAAACCGCTGCGCCACCCAGGGATCCCCAGGATGTTACTTTTCTAATGCTAAAGCATACTCAGAATGCACTTTCAGAATTACTTTATATCCTCCAAGTTGTCACCTCATTGAAATGCTGATGATGATACACTGCTATTAACTTTAAATTAGGGCTACACATGGCACAATGGTAAAAACTTGTTTAGTCTAAGGACTTTGAGGTATAAATTAACAAAAGTAGGGGCTAAGTCCTCTCTCCATCTTGGTAGTTCAACCTCAAGGTGCCAAGAGATTCTCTCATTCTCTTTTTATTCATGTCAGGTTCCAAAGATTTTTTTTTTAAAACACTGCCAACAACATGTTCTACCTGGTCTTTTCCCCTCCCCCACAGACGCACTGTGAAACGCAGTTTTATAATTCTTTAGTATTTTTCCAACAATCCCCCACACTTCCCTTTTCATTCTTAAGGTATTGCCTTATGTTAACACTACTACTCATTACTGAAGAAAGAGAAATAAACCTTGGGGAAGTTAAACCAGTTCAACAAAGGTGAACTGCTCAGGACTCGATTTTTGGAGTCATTTTGTATTTGTGGGAGTGAGTGGGGTTCATCACCAATCTACACAAACTATAGACATCCTAAGGATTCTGATAGCAAGGAACACAAGTCAACTACTTAGGAGGCCATTCACACCTTTGAGGGATTTTTTTTTTTTTTTTTTTTTTTACTGAATACATATGAGGCACAATATTAAAAAATACCAAAAAAAGGTCTCTGCACTCCCTTTAGCTACATTCTTGGCACAGGAGCAGGGTGAGTGGAGGGATCCAAAAACACATGCAGAGGCCTGGTGCTGTTAAGATTGTGGATCTGTATAACAGAGGGTATAACAGGATGATAGAATATGCAAAGGAAGAGAGTATTTCTGACTGCCTATCTGGAAATGGTATGAAGTTAAACTTTACATTTTACCTAAACACTTTACTTTAGTCCTGACAGGGAGAATATGGTATGTCAGATATGCTAAAACAAATGACCCCAATTCTTCACCTCTAACTTTTTGGCTCTTGCAGAAGTTCTGGGGATTAAGCCTGGCTAGACAAGTAAGTCATCAGGTGAAACAGGCCTTGTTAAGGAAGGTTCAGAACAGATTTCACCTTAAAAGCAACAGGGAACCACTGAAGACTTTTTTTTTTTTTTTTTAAGATTTTATGTATTTGAGAGAGCTAGTGTGAGAGCAAGAGCAGAGGAAGAGGGAGAAGCAGACTCCCTCCTGAGTAGGGAACCAGGAGGGCAAGGTGAGTGGGGTGGTGAGGCTTGATCCCAGGACTCCAGGATCAGGACCTGGGCTGAAGGCAGATGCTTAATCAAGGCTGAGCCCCCCGGGCATCCCACCACTGAAGAATTTTAATAATAATAGATTTAAGTTTTAAAAAGACAACTTTCAATGCATTGTAGAGATTGGATTAGAAAGGGAGAAAATGAAATATGGAACCTGGTTTAAGGAAGCTGTTGTGGGCAAGCAAAATTTTAGGTACTGCTGGTGGATCCAGAATTAAGTGAACTAGCTTGGAGATTTTCAAGGGTTTAATGGTTAATTGGGTTCAGAGAGTGAAGATGACTTTTAAAATGACTACTTACTGGCTTGGGCAATTGGGAAGCTGACAAAGCCAACCATTTAGGTTCTGATAATTAGAAGAGTGAACCAGGAGGCGATTAATGCTAAGGAGAAAAATAATGGTGGTTTGAATGAGGGATTAACATTAAGGACAAGGATCTGAGAGATATTTAGGAAGGAAAGATTGACAAGACTTTGTAACTGCCTGATATGAGACATGTAAAAAAAAAAAAAAGAGTCAAAGATGATACCCAACTCTCTTACATTATGTAGATGGTCACAGTGGTAGATTACCTAATGGTCATAATGCCATTGCAGCTTTTACTCTTTAGGAGTGCTGCTCTGAGACTGCCGTGAAAAGAAGTTGGGTTGGCTTACTGGAGGATGAGAGATCACATGGAAGAGAACCACGTCACCCTTGCTGATAGCACTAAGAATGAAGCCAACTTGGACCTTTCAGTTCAGCTGACCTACTAGCTCAACACAGCTCCATAATGAGCCAGAGGAGATCAACAGAGGAACTGTTGACAAATTATGAGAAATTTTATTTTAAGCCACCAAATTTTGGGATGGTTACACATCATTGATAATTAAAGATAGAAAAATCAGGAAAAGTCAATGTAAAATGTTATTCTTTATCTTTGCAAGGTGGTGAACTCAAATTACTTAAGATTGGGAAAAAAAAAAGAAAAAAAAAAAAGAACTACAACAACAACAAAAAACCACACACACAAAAACAAAAAAAACCTCCAGTACAAAGTTTAGAGAAGGGTCTTCCAGTAATTTCTAAGGCACCAAATGCCTGAATAACAGAATACTGTAATACTAGAGAAGTTAAAAATCCACCTTTTAGGGGTTGCAGAAACAAAAAGGCACGATCTTCAAACTCTCCGAGGAAAGAAAAGCAAAGGCTGTTTGTAGAGGCCTTCGGTACAGGCCCTAACTCCCTTAAACTTCGCACGAGTCAATGAAACCAGGACTCAACTCCTAGGAGAAGAACTTTTCAGAAGGTCAGAGTATTCTTCGAATACTCGAAGAATTGAGCTGATTCATGAAATGTGTGAAAGCTCCTACACAATGCCTAGACAAAAACAAGTCATTCACATAGCAAAACATGGATTGCAACCTTCTCAGGAGGAATTAACCAATATTAATTGTGCACGAGTGAGTAGAAAAACAAGCCAAAAACCAGCCCTTCCTCATTCAAAGATTAAGAGCGTTATCTGTTGTCAGTGAAGAACTACATAGAAACGTTGGTTAACAGTGCCCGACTTTAAACGAGATGAAGGCTAGCATTTAAAAAAGAAAAACAAGATTTCAAAGATAAATGATGCTCTAGTATCGAGTGGCTCCTTTACTGCAACAACACGGTCTAAAACCACAAACGGCCCTGAAATGCATCCAGCAGCCCGTGAATAAGAGAGACCAGAGAGAAAACGCTAACGGTGAAATTAGAGGCCACTGACCATTGAAAGGAGAAAAGGAAACAGGAAGTGTAGCCCGGACCAAAGATTTGGATTTGGTGGTGGTGGTGGTGGTGGTGGGGGGTTCTTTTAAAATTTCGAAAGTCTTATCACAAGCAACGGTAGTCCCTTGTCCCCTGCCCGTTGGAAAACCATCTTCATTCCTTTCCGGGATTTATTGCCCCCTCCCACCCACTCCCCCCCATGCTGTGCGGTTTACACGTTTTTAGGTGGAACGCTGCAAAAGAGAAGCGCTACTCAAAAGGTCAAGTACTACTCAAGATACTCTGAAGTCAAGAGAAAGCCGCTAGAAGTCGGGAGAAGGAACTGATAGAAACCGAGGGAGGGAAGGGAAGGGAAAGGAAGGAAGGGAAGGGAAGCATCAACCCGGGAACGAAGCCACGTCGCCTTCTGGGCGCAGCAGGCGCTAAGGAAGCCCAGTCCTCGCACTCTCCCCAAGTGTGGCTACCAGCGAGGACTGAATGTCTCGTCTTCCCCGGCGCAACAGCCCCCCTCGCTCCGGGCCGCCGCGGAGGTGACGGCCACTCACCGCTTGAAGGACGGCAGCCAGCAGCAGCCGCAGCCGCAGCGCCGGCCCGAGCCGCCCGCCGGGTCCAGGCGCCATCGCTACGCTAGGCCGTCGGCCTGCGGCTGCCCGGAGGACCCCTCCGCTAGGGGCGTCCACTCCGGAGCCTGATCCGAAGCAGGCTGCCAAGGGCCGTTGCCATCAAATCCCGTACTCCGCGGAGACGGCTGTTACCTAAGGGTAAATGGAAGCTTAAAAGGCCGTCACACATCTTTATATTTGAGATGAATATAAAATCGCCGGGTCCTTTCGAAAACCCCTATCAGGCATTCTGCTAACCCCCCCCAAGTCCGAGCCGCTCCGGGCTCCTTCTTTTCATTCACGACGTTTCGTCCTGCCGCCAGGGAACCCCGCCTTCGCCGGTTTGGGCCGGCCTCCTTCTCCAGGGTTACCCAATCGCATGCCGATTTGGCTGACACCCCCGGCAAAGGAAACCAACCGGAACACGAACCACGAGCGGAGGCTCCCGGGGTTCTTCGGGCCAATAGGCGCCACGGGACGGGAGCAGGGGGCGGGGCCTCTGGTTGCCGAGCAGCGTACGTGGATGCGTGCGCGTGGAGGCGGAGGGGGATGGGCAGGGGGCGGAGCCGAGGGCGGCGCAGCCGCAGCCGCAGCGCTGGCGGAGGAGCGCGCGGCCGCGAGCAAAGGAGGGAGGGAAGGAAGGAAGGAAGAGAAGGAGGCGGGCGCGCAGGCAGGCGGGCGGGCGGGCGGGCGCGGGGGTCGGGGACTGAGGCAGTAGGAGAGGCGAGAGCCCGGCAGCCGCTTCGCGCTGTTTGCTGCGCGGGCTTCTGGAGGGGGCGGCCGCTGAGTCGGTCCGGGAGAAGCGGCACCGGCGGCGTCGGTGCTGGCGCCTGGGGGCGGGGGACCGGGGAGGCGAGAAGGGGGGTCGCTGCGGTGCTTCTCCGGCTGTCGCGCTCTCCTCGCCGTTCTCTCCCGGCTCGGTGGGCTCCCCCCGGCGTCCCCCTCGCCTCCGGGGCCCCGCTCCCCGCCCCCCGCGGTATGTCTTGATCCCGAGCAGCGGGTTTCATGGGGCTCCTTAGGATTATGATGCCGCCCAAGTTGCAGCTGCTGGCGGTGGTGGCCTTCGCAGTGGCGATGCTCTTCTTGGAGAACCAAATCCAGAACCTGGAGGAGTCCCGATCGAAGCTGGGTAAGCAGCAGAGTCCCTCCGGGGTGAGTGGTGTGCAGGAGGCCGGGCCATAGGGAGGCATTGCAGCCGGAGCAAGTGAGGCTTTTTGGGTCCAAACCTGCGATCTGGCTCGGGGGGGGGGTGGGGGGCAAGAGGGTGAAAGGGCTTGCAGAGAGAGCTGGGGCTGGGGGCATCGAAAACACAAGCTCTGGGGACGGTGTGAGTCGAGCTGGAGCGGCGTGCTGGGCTCGCGAGGTCGCCAAGGTGGGCTTTCCCGTGCCGAAGGGGGATCAGAAGTCGGCATTCCCCCGGGGGAGGCGGCAGGAGGACACCGAACTCGCTGGGAGCGGGAACTGCTGCTGGAGGCAGAAACGCGCAGCCTCGGGTGTTTCCTGGAGTCTGCTGAAAGCCAGCCCGGGCAGTGTCAGTCCAGGGGTATTCTGATTTGGGATGTGGGCACCTCTGGATACAGGTCCTTGGGCGGGGGGGGGGGGGGGGACGGACAGGTTCACCAAGGGATAGATGCTCGGAAATGGAGGGAGATACTGGGAATGATGGGGAGTGAAAGAAATACACTGTAGTGAGTTGCACTCTTGTGCTGGGGGCAGCAAGGGACCACACAACCGACGGGAGAACTAGGCTGCCAAGGTAGGGCAGGAAAGCAAATACAAAGCTTCAGCGTGATCCTGAAAGGAGGCATCCTGGCATTTAACTACTTTAAAAAAAATCTTTTTTTTTTTTTTTTGCGGGGGGAAAGCTAAATTTCATTAATATTCAGGTTTAAGAATAGGAATATGTATGTACGTGGCCCCCAGGAATGATGTAGTGAGCTTATAGGAGGAGGGAACGCTGAAGGGGAATTACAGTGAAGACTTAAATTCGTAAAAAAAAAAAAAAAAAAAAAAAGACTTAAATTTGTGAAAGGAAGAGTAAGATTACACAGTTAATACACCATATGCTTAAGTAACTAAGGAGTTAACATGCTTGCTTTAATGAGCGGAGGGGTCTGAAGTGTATAACGTTGGGGTATGAAGTTGTGAACGACCAGCAGAACGCACGGGTGATAGGTACCGTCCAATCAGGAGGGGACTTTGGCATTTGGGAGGCGTTTGGGATGGGGAGGAGGTGTTAAAAGAATGTTTGCGATACACTTCGATTTAAAAATGTACGTGGCATTTAAAAGTCGGCTCAAGAGGCGGTAGTTTGAATATGGAGAAGTAATGCGAAGTGATTTTATGTATACACTTTCACCTCTGCAGCCTTTGAAATACTTTTTGAGAAGCAAGCACTTAAAATACCAGCAGCAAGATCGTTTAGACCAAGTGACAGCCAGGAGCTGCCGTGGATGATAATTAACGTGAAGGAAAAAGTATTAGTAAATAGTTGTAACGTTAGAAATACAGCTGCCTGTTTGTAGTTTTGGCAGACTTTGGAAAAAAGCTTGGGAACGTTTTAAAGAGCAAGCTATCAAATCTAATCGAAGTGCAACTAAAATTTATGAAGGAGGAGCTGAGGATGATTCCAGTCCTCAACGCTAGGGTAAAACTTACCTGTACAATATTCAATTTTGAAGAGATACTAAGTTTATTTACCATGATTTTATTAATTTGTCTTGTGTGATGGAAAAATTCTTCGCCTTCAACATTGAAAATTGACCAAAACACGTTTCCTTTTTGTTTGGATCCACTTAGCATTCAGGGCCATATTCTGGCCTCATTAATGATCCAACTTTACAGAAAAAAATGACTCATCTTAGAGAAATTTGAAAGTTATGTTAAAATTAAGATTTGAACACATCGCAGTGGTTAGGATAACTTCAATTTTTTCTTTTTTTTGCCTCAGATTTTTTTCATAACACTTGAAAGTGGTTTCCATAGACACAACCTAATTGATTTTTAAAGAGGATTATCTTAACGTGTAGAAAGCCACAGGTAGAAGGTCTGTTTTTTTTTTTCATGATTGTTTACAAGAAACCTTTAAATTTCATCAGAAATAGGAAGTACAAATCAGATACTCAAAAATGAGCCAAGAAGAGCTCAAATACAAAACACTTGCGGGAACTATCAATGCTCTGGAGCTGCAAAAACATGGCAAGTAAAATGTGTAACTTTATATCAGCAGTCTTGATTTTTTAAAAAGAAAAGCCTTAGAAAAAGCAGTACTAAAAGAGTTATTACCAGTTAATAATCTTCCTTAGGGAAGGAAAGCAGAAGGCATAGTTTGACCTAGCCTCTATACCAGGCACTTCCATATGTGATATTCTTATGTAATCTTCCAAGAACACCATAGAAAGCTGTCTTTACAGATGCAGAAATAGGCTCATAGGTTATACACTTGACCACATAGCTAAAAGTGCTAAAGTAGGATTGGAGCCCAGGTACGTGTGATTCCAAATCAAGTGCTTCTTTAATTATACCAGGCTGCTTGGGACTTTATATTGACATTAGACCAAGATTTAGCAGTTTGAATAGAATTTTTAAATAGTAATATCAATGTTTAATTGCATTTATTGCTAAGAATGAATATAATTCTGGGAAAATCTAATTTCTGACACAAAGAAATTGGTTTAGTGTAATGTCTGCTCCTTGTTTATATCTAAATAATGAACATAATTATATTACACAATGAAATGACTGAAATAGTTTATTTCTGTTGTAGCATAAAAGTCTGGAGTTGTTTTCTCTAAGTGTAAGGGTTTTTGCAGGCTTATGCAAAAGTTATAAAGTTTACACAAATCTATCATTTTAGGGAAGTAGATTTCTTTTGTTACTTGGGAGGATTTTTTTCCCAACCAAGATTATGTACATTCTCTATATTTTGTTATAGTATCTTATAATTTTTATTTTTTACATTTAGTTCATTAAAGCATTTATACATTTATAGAGATTATTTCTTCAATGAATAGCAACTTATGGCAAATAATATATTAACGAATCATCTGTTTTCCTCTGTATGTTACAGTTCTTTTTTTCATATATTACAATTCCTTTTTTTCATATATTAAATTTTCCTATGTTTTTGGATTGATTTTGGACTCCATTTTTTCTACTAGTTACAGATTTCTTAAACTCTCAAGACCTATGATAGGCTTCAAGGCATCCATGAATTCTCTGAAATTATATGCATAGGTTTCATCAGATTTGCAAAGGCATATGTGATCCCCTTAATGATGGGAAACACTGACTTGCAGTGATGGTTCGTATTTAATGAAGCACATTTTTTATTTCTTTGTTTTTAATATTAGCATGTTATAACATGCAAGTTGTGAGTTACATTCAGGATACAAACACATTAGTTATGTAAAAAGTTCTCTGGGGTGTTATGTTGAAAAACTTTATTAAAATGTATACTTAATTTTTCTAATGAGATATGGGAGATAACATGGAGCCAATGAAAACTGTTACTTAGCTTACTACTTACTTAGCTGTTAGAATGGCATATCCAAATTTGTTGCTTTTACAAAGTTTTTTTCTGAATCTCAAGAGATACCTGTTGCTAATGCTGACTGATGAAAATAGTGCAATGAATTTGTTATATCAGTGTTAGAATTATATGCTTGATGATTTTCTTTTCTTTCTTTATTATTTATGAGGGAGGTAGAGACATAGGAAGAGGGGAGAAGCAGGCTCCCCACAAGGAGCCCCATGTGGGACTCAATCCTGGACCCCAGGCTCAACCGCTGAGCCACCCAGGCGTCCCGATGATTTTATTTTCTATAAGATCTAAACATTTAAAATAAAATCTGTTGTTCAAATGCTTTAACACCACTATGTGAGTTTGTGAACCTTAGGACATAATCTTTTAAATGAGGACAATTACTCTGAATGGATTATGTATTCCTCTTTACTGGTGAAAATTGTGTTACTCTTTTTACTCTTAAAATCCTCCTAAACTAGTGAACTAACTCCAGGAAAAAGGTTGAGACTGCTCTTTGGAATTTGGTAGTATTTAAAGTACCTGAAATCATGTAACAATATCTGTGATGTTGCCAAGAATGCTGGATTTTTCTACTTTTGAAATTGTTGGAAATTTTCACAGGATCTACTGCTTAGAAGACCTTGGATTAATTAGAATGCAGTCATTCTAGAATTGCTAATTAGTGCTTCACTTTTGAGTCCTGGATAGGATATCTAGTGCTATGAAGTAGTCACTGGAAACAATTGATCTCAATTAAGGTAATCCCAGGATGTCTGTCTACCACTCTATTAAGACTTCTAATAGCTTTTTGGCACCTGGTGGAATTGAAATAATGAATATTCAAACACTGCTCTCCAGAAGACCACATCTGAAGGATGTTCATATAGATATCTGGATTTTACAGCCATTGTTCACTATAGCTTGATTGTTTACAATTATCTACCCACCTACTAGTAACTGTGTTTATGCACTCTGCCTCTTAACCATAGATTAACTGCCTGTTGGGCCACTTGTGCACCTGAATGAGTTTTCTAACCTACAAGGCAGGATTCCAGAAGTTTTCCTTCATTCTTCTATAATCATCACTTCTCTTTCTGCTTGAGTATTCTCACTAGCATATGAACATGCTATTATTTCCTCTATCCCAAAACCAAAACAATACTTTTTTTAAAAGATTTATTTATTCATGAGAGACAGAGAGAGGCAGAGACATAGGCAAAAGGAGAGGCAGGCTCCCTGTGGGGAGCCCAATGCGGGACTTGATCCCAGGGCCCCGAGATGCTCAACCGCTGAGCCACCCAGGCGTCCCCATCAATACTCTCTTGACTACCCTTTTCTCAAGCAACCTTTGTTCCATATTTTGTATTCCCTTTGCAATAAAACTAAAAACTTGTTTAGTCTCACTGACTCTAATTGTCAAACTCACTGGTAATTTCCCTAAATCCTGTGGTCAATTTTTGGTCTTCATTTGGATTGATCTATCTGCAAATTTTAACACGATCACTTTTTCTTTTTTTCATAGATTTTCTTCTAAGATACTATACTCTTGGTTTTCTTCCCACCTCATTGGTGGTTACTTCTCTGAATCCTGTGTTAGAGTCTCC